GGCTGGGAGGAGCGGGGATGGAGCCGGAAGGACCCTAGCCAAGGGCCTGGAGGTCCCTGGGATGCAGGACTGGTTTGGCTGACTGAGCCAGAGGGTAGAGGACCAACACCTCTGCAAAGGTCCGGGAAGAGTGGCCGTTCCCCAAGTGAGGCCAAGAGGGGAGAGGCGGGTGCCGGCGGCCTCTGCAGGAGCCGAGGCCTGGCGGAGGCACATAGGCAGGCGTGCATGCATAGACGCCTGCTGTGCAGGGGCCAGGTTCATGCGCTGCCTGGCCTGCTGCCCTAACCCGGAGTCCACGCCTTTGCTCCCTGCACAGGGTGTACCGGGCTGAGTCCGCGCTCCTACGGAGCACCCAAACTCCACAAATGCTGCCCAGGGATTTCCACAGAGGAAGCATCCAATCTGTAACTCCCCACTTAGCAGCCTGGAAGTCCCCTGAAGGACCCTAGGACTTCTGGGGGCACCACACTCTGGTGTGGGTACCAGTTCCCAGCATGAGTATCTGCCCTCACTCCCTCCCTCTCCAAACAGGGCGATCTGGGGCAGCCTCTTGGATTTGGCTGTAGCTTCTGGAAGGGTGGTCCAGATGTTGGGGCCCTAGATGGCGAGTTCTGGACTAAAACTACCCTCCTCGACATCTCCTTAACAATCAGGAGGATCCTCCCGTGCCTATTTTTACCCCCACACTGACTTCCTCAACCCATTACATTAATGAAGATAAAAAGAGAATTAGTATGTGAGCTGCAAAAGTGTGTAAGGTGGACTCTAAGCCCTAGAGCAGGGGTCCTCAAACTTTTTAAACAGGGGGCCAGTTCACTGTCCCTCAGACCGCTGGAGGGCCGGACTATAGTTTAAAAAGAAAACTATGAACAAATTCCTATGCACACTGCACATATCTTATTTTGAAGTAAAAAAACAAATGTTTTCGGTGGCCCGCCGGCCGTAGTTTGAGGACGGCTGCCCTAGAGAAAGGCCCCCTAGGTTTAGCAACCAAGCCCTTCCCCACAAGTGACTCAGTGGTTTTTGGATCAAGGACAGATACCAATTGTCCCTTTCCATGTCCACTAGCTAGAGCACACCTTCCCCTTTTCCTGCCTTGGCCTCAACAACACAGTCCTATCCAAACATCCCCTACCCAGGCCATGGAAGAGGAGTTTCTTCCCTCCCCCTTCTCTTGGAAATCTGGGTGAATCTGGCTTCGCTCCTATGAAAGGCAGTGTCTCTGTGTGAGGTGACCTGGTGGGAGGGGAGGTGTGTCTAAGGTAAGTGAGGGCCAGGTGTGTTCCTACGTGTATGTGTCTGTGTGAGAACAAGGCCATGTGAGCAATGACAAGGGTCTCCTGTGTGCGAATGTATGTGCATGTGTGAAGGGAGGCTCTCTGAGTTCTGGAAAACCAAAGGACTGGTCTCAACACGTCCACCCCACCAGCCACTGCTGCTCTTGGGGACAGCATGTTGACCTTTTGATTCAGGGGAGCCCATTTCAGGGCAAATTATGATTAAAGGTGAGTCAGTTCTGATTAGTATAGGGTTTCACATGGCTGCCTCACCCTGTTCTGCTGCCTACCTTAACTGGAGGGTCCTTTTCTGTCTGAATCCCTAGTCAGAAGGAAAGGGAAGATGATACCATGAAGCTCCCTCATCCCGTTAGTCATTGAGAGCCAGTCCCCAGTGGCTATCTCAGGAACCCCGTAATATATAGAATCCGAAAGGGCGTTCAGAAAAGACCATGATCCATGGCACAAAATTCATTCAATCATTCATTTGGCAAATATTTTTGAGCACCAGGCACTGTTTTAGTCACTGCAGATACAATAATGAACAAAACAGATGACAAAAATAATGTGTCCTCTCCTTGGAGGAAATCAGATGCCTTAACCTGACTGGCTAGAATGCTTGATGGGCCTCCTTCTCACACCGTGACTTCACCCCTGCCCCTCGTGTCCTGGCCCTGGCACGCTGGAGAGTGGCAGGCCTGTCTGTTCCTGCTCAGAGGAAGCAGGGCTCACCAAAGTTTTTCCTCCCAGAAGAGGTTCTTGGGTGATCAGGAACCCTTGGCTTGTGTCTTCAATGTTCCCCACTCAGCAGAGACCCAGCACGCATGCCCCCTCCTCTCTCTACAGTGCCCTGTGTCCTCTGTGGCTGCGGGATAGGGTTTTACACACAGAAATGTGAGGACACACTGGAGCTGAGACTTGCCTTCCTGCCTTCCGAGGAGACACGGATCGCAAATGCACGGGTTGGTGTTAGTACTGAAGACCCTTAGAAGGAGGAGCACCTCCACAGGGGTTATAAGTGGGAATTTTTGCAGCCCAGGGGGACAGAGGCAAACATGATGACACAAATGGCTTTGGGAGTGGACCTGGCCTAAGGGAGGAAGGCACACGCTCACATTCCCCCAACCTGGCATTCACAGCTCTTAAAACTTCGGAGATCTATGAACCGCTTTCATGTTCTCCAATGCCTCCGTCCTCCCAGCCCCCAGAGGACTGACATCCTAACAGCTAAACGGTACCTTATGTGTGTTTAATAGTTTTCAGTTTACACAGACCTCATTCTAAACCTCTGAGCGCAGCCTGGCAACCCATGTTTTATGACTCTGATTTGGTGGACAAACCAGCAGTTTCAGGAACGTTAAGCAGTTGGCCCACATCCGGTAAGAGGCCGAGTCTGGACTTCTTACAGCTCCTCTGACTTCCATTTTATGGCTTTCGGATATCCATACGAACCTCTTCTGGGCAGTAATAGTAATAATTCCAAACTGTTCATCGTCCAAAGAAGAAACTGTATGATCATGCTAACCCAATGGGAACGCCATGCTTACCATCCTCAAGCTACACTGGATTTGTGCCGAGTGCCCCTGGGACCATGCTGGGAAGATGCTTAACCCGGAGCACATCCATTGTCCTCCAGACCCAGGAGGATCCTGAGAAAACACCTGAGAGCAGGTCGTTGCCATACGGCTCTTCCTAGGGGAACCTGGTGTGCGTTCTGCCTCCGGGGTCCCCAGCTCCATTGTCCACTTAAAGACCCACAAATGGAGATGCAGAGAATCAGCAGTTGGTCATAACAGATTGGAAACCCTGGTTTCCAAAAGCCCCTTTCCAGCCCAGGAAGCAGAAGCCATATTTTCCTGTTGTTAGAGCACCATCTACTGGTCACTTGTGAGCACATCACTGTGAGCTCAGGTACCACTCAGGCACCACACCTCAGAGCCTAGACCAAGGGTGGGCAAACTTTTTGACTCGAGGGCCACAATGGGTTCTTAAACTGGACCGGAGGGCCGGAACAAAAGCATGGATGGAGTGTTTGTGTGAACTAATATAAATTCAAAGTAAACATCATTACATAAAAGGGTACGGTCTTTTTTTTTTCAATAGTTTTATTCATTTCAAACGGGCCGGATCCAGCCCGCAGGCCGTAGTTTGCCCACAGCTGGCCTAGACATTCCTAAAGAAGTGACCTCTTGTCATCTGCCCTCTACCCCCGTTTGAGACGGCTGAGGCCCACACCCCAAATTTCCCCACAATGCAACCAGCACATCTCACAGTGCTTGGAAAGTACAGCCACACACACTGTGCACAAGGTCAAAACACACACACACACACAGTTAAGATAGTACAATCAAATGCTCTACATGCTATCTTTGCAAGCAATTACCTGCAAACTAGAAACCCCGAAGGATCTGAGGAAGCAAGTGAAAAACTTTTCTAGAGTCGTCAAAGCTTTCACCCCTGAGCCCCTCCACACCATGTCCCATGCAAAGTGCAAGCGGGAAGGGAATGGGAGAAGTAGGGAGACTAAGGTATCTACACTCCCTCAGACCAGGTAGGCCACGGGAGCTTGTACTGACAGACAGATGTGAGTGGCAAGGTTGGAGAAGCACGTAGCCTATTTCTACCTCTTCTCAGATCTGTCAGGCTGTGGGCCATCTCCACAGGAGATTTTTCAGCCCATCTCTGAGGAGTCTGCAAGTCTAACCTCACCCAAAAGGCGTGGGCCCCTCCCACCG